AAGATACCTTAATGAGTAAGAAAGGCTTGGAAATTCTTGAAATGCTGTCAGGTGGATTAAGAGTGGATGCAGAGAATTTGCAACACAGGGAGGGCATTCCAAACAGCACAGGAGACTAAAACCCGGGCGGCAGTCCCAGGCTTGACCCAGGCTGGTTCATTTTTGAGGCACGGTGACACATACCCAATATTTTGCAGGCTTTGTCGACGAGCTGCATTGTGATCTCGTCTTTGTAAACCTCAAAAGTCAGGAAAGAATCCTGGACTCCGGCCTGCAGTCTGCAACAGAGAAGACAATATTCTTGTCTCCGCAGTGCTGTAAATATAACATGCTTGGGTGACCCAACTGGCATTCATTAAGCGCTGTCTGCTGTTAACCTACTCCTTAGCCTCCTTCAAGCGTTATATTGGAACTCATTACTTCCTCTAATGGTTTAAAAGTGTTGCTTTAACATGGCTGAACAGCGGTGTCCACCTCTCCATTTCTGCTATTTCACGCTATGGTATTATGGCGTGATTAGGGCATCGTACTGGAGGGGGCTAGAGCAAGTGGAGTCTTAGTTTGCCTTCTGGTCCACTGGCTTGTTGTTCAATGTGGCCACAATATCAAGCTCTTGGGTCTCCACAGACTTGACCAAAAACTTGCTGATCCTCTATATTGGCTTCAATGGCTATTCTATGTATGTATCTAAGTATCATTTATGTATCTTTATATCTTGGAAAATACCCTATAGCTCATAAAGTAAAGACAAAACCAGAGAAGATGATAATCTATTTAGCTGCTTTTCTGAAATTTCTGGAATTAAACTGACTTCACATCAAGGATGACATCTTTTCAGTGTAATTACTTTTCGATATTGTCACAGTGAGCCAGCAAGTCTATTGCACAGTTGTCTATAAAACTACATGTCATCCTTAATTATCGGATATAACAAATTAATTGGGACAAATTAGTATCAGAGTATGAAGTGTTACAAGGTAAGAAACTCTTGCTTTTGCCCTGCTAGTTACTTCTAATAATTACTTGAGATACGCATCAGCTGCCGTTTACCAGTGAGAAATTATAATCCTCTGCTGCTAAATTCCTGAGCATTTTCTTCCAATACACTGCATTTATCGGGACCACATTACCTTAATTTTTCCCACGTTTCTTCACCATACTTTTCAACCACCAAAGACTTCAGGCATGTATTTATAAATCCATACTGCAAAAACAAATATATGAACACAGAAAAGACATACTGATTTTCAGAATGCAGCCCAAACATGCCACCTTTTTTTGTATTTAAGATTCCACTGCTGATTTTATGTGGCAAAAGAGAAAGTAATTATGTTTGACAGCCATTATGTCATTCAGTAAACAGCGTAGCCTTCACCTCAGCATTTCACAAGGATTCGGCAAAGCAGAGCAAACCCATTCAATGCTGTTTTGCAGATAAGGACCCAGGGACACCAGGTCAGGGATCTGTGGTGCCATGCACGCAGCCTCCAGCGCGTCGCCTGCGGCGGCTGGAACAGCAGCCACGCACTGCTGCACCATCGGGAGGTAAGTTTGGCTTTGCCCTGACCGTTATTGTTCGCGTTAGGAGTGACAAACCGTACACCGGAGATTTTGGGGGGGGGGGATGTTAAAA